TCTTTAAAATTAAAAAAAAAATTAAATGGAACCAGAAGAGACCTAGAACAGCCAAGGCAATCTTGAGCAAAAAAGAGTAAAGCAGGAAGCATCACAATTTAGATTTAACCTAATACTACAAAGATATAGTGACAAAAACATCAAGGTACTGGCATAAAAATAGACGTATAGGTTAATGGGATAGAACAGAGACACAGAAACAACACTATGTACCTTCAGCCATCTGATTTTTGATACATAAAGAATAGTTTCTTCAATGAATAGTATTGGGAAAATTGGTTGTCCATATGCAGAAGATTAAAACTGGATCCATATTTCTCACACTACTTAAATCAGTCAAAAATAGACCAAAGGCCTAGGTATAAAAACAGAAACTTCAAAACTTCTGGAAGAAAACATGAGAGGAAAATCAAAGTTGTAAAAGAGAAAAGAACTTCCTGAACATAACCCAAATGGCACAGGAAATAATATCAAAGTGAACAAATGGGATTACATCAAAGATCTTCGACAAAGGGAAGATCGACAGAGTAAAGAGAAAGGGAAAATAGACATAGTGAAAACACCATCTATAGAATGGAAAAACTATTGCCAGCTACTCCTCTAATAACTAAATGATGCCTAGAATAAAAAATACTCAAGAAAATTAACCTCCCAAAACAATGACCCAATCAAAAAATTGGGCAAATGAACAGACTAGACATTTTCCAAAAGAAGAAGTACAAATGACCAATAAACACACACAAAAAGTTCATCATCTTCAGCTACTTGTGAAATGCAAATCAAAACTACCTCGAGATTCCATCTGAGAATGGCTATCATGAAGAACACAAAAAGTAACAAAAGCTGGCAAGGCTTTGGGGGAAAAGGAACCCTTCCACACAGTTGGTTGCATTGTAAACTAGTACAACTACTATAGAAATCAGTTTGAAGATTCCTTAAAATTTTAAAAATAGAAGTTCCATTTGACCCAACTACACCTTTTTGCATATATTCTCAAAAGAGTTAAAAACATCATGCTACAGTGATACATGCACACCCATGTTTATAGCAGCACAATTCACAATAGCAAATCTCTGGAAACAGCTTAAGTGACCATCAACAGATGGATAAAGAAAATGTGGTATATATAAGAAAAGAAAATGTGGTATATATGGAATATTCATGCATGAAGAAGGAAATAGCTGTTTATAGGGAAATGGATTGATCTTGAGACTAT